TGGATAAAGAAGATGCGGTATATATATACAATGGAATACTATGCAGCCATCAAAAGTAATGAAATCTTGCCATTTGCAATGACGTGGATAGAACTAGAGGGTATTATGCTTAGCAAAATAAGTCAGTCAGAGATAGACAACTATCATATGATCTCCCTGATATGAGGAAGTGGAGATGCAATGTGGCGGGCTTGGGGGGTAGGAAAATAAATGAAACAAGATGGGATCGGGAGGGAGACAAACCATAAGAGACTCTTAATGTCACAAAACAAACTGAGGGTGGCCGGGGGGAGGGGGGTAGGGGAGAGGGTGGTGGGGTTATGGACATTGGGAAGGGTATGTGCTATGGTGAGTGCTGTGAAATGTGTAAACCTGGCGATTCACAGACCTGTACCCCTGGGGCTAATAATATATGTTTATAAAAAAAGAATAAAAAAATTAAAAAAAATAGGTTAGGGTTTTATCTATCTAGAAAAACATTAAAGGCATTCCTATTTAAAGTTGGTGGAAATAAATAAAACAAAATAAATAAAATCTTTTAAAAATAAATTAATTTAAAAATTTAAAAAAAAAAAGTATTATCTTAAAAAAAGGGTTGATTCATTTAAAGGCAAACCCTTTAAGGCGAACAATACTTGTAATAAAGTTTGGTACACCATTACTTGTCAATGGGGCCCATGGTCGAGCCTGAGCTGTCGTTGGCTTACTACTTGTTAATAATTAGATTTGACTAAGTAAGAGTCTACGGATTGAAAATATAGCAAACATCAATTCTGGGAAGATTACTGCTGGCAAATTTTGTTTAGGTTTATTGAAAACACCCCAAATTCCCTGCTTTGTAGGCTCCACTCAATCAATCGATATTTCTTGAGTACATATTATGAACCAGATGCTGATAAGGATGCTGGGGATAAGCAGTGAAAAAGACAGACTAAGTCCCACTGCCCACGGAGTGTACATTCTCTAGAAAGAACAGAGACGACAGCAGTAGACAGGGGTATGAAGAAAGAAAAGCAAGGTTACGAATTATTGAATGATGGAAGAAAAACACCAAGTCTTTAGATCACTGGGAGCCTCTCTGATTGACATCTTATTTGAACAAAGATCGAAATGCTGAAGATGATTTGATTTTATGGGGAAAAAAATTAACATTTTACTCAGTTAAAAGTTAACACTCTTTGCTCATATATTGTGTCCTATATGTGTCTAATAACCCACACTCCTTCTCTGGCTTTCGGTTATATGACAAGGCTTTGGGATAAAGAAAAGTTGGGGGATTTTTCAGGTCTTTCTGTTGAGTTATTTTTTCATTTTTATTATGATGTTTTTAATTTCAATACAAGCCCAGGACATGAGATCTTCAATTATAAGCATAAGCATTATGGTAAAGAGGTTACTGAGCATGGAAGACAAAACTTAACCTCTGAACTCAGACTCAGGTTCAAGTTTGGACCCTGGATCCACAGGTTTACTATCTGTGTGGCCTGAGACAAGTCACCTAACCTTTTACAATTCTGTTTTCTTCTCTGCTGAGGCAAGATCATTCCATTCCGTCTTGCACAATTCAGGATAATTAAAAAAAACAAAACAAAACACAAAATCCTGGTATACAGAAGGTACTCCAACAATCGTAACTGCAGTTTTTACCATGTGTATGGAAGCACCGTGCGTAGCGTCTGAGCGCACGTAGGCGCCTCTTGGCTTCCTATTTACTTGCATTATGAGTTTCTCTGTAATTCATTTGTACAGATAAACAAGAGTTGATGGTATGTGAGTTTTTGCTTGATAGAATTTCACAGGACTCATTTCATCAGTGCGTGATTAGCTTCAAAGCTTCGAATCTAACCCAGTTTTGAGATAACTGGGAAATGAAACTAAGTGGAGGGAACAAATGCAGCATTGTAAGAGAAGCAAAAGTCAGCTTGAGGTTGTCTGATGTTCTTAAACTAACATCATCTTTCATCTCCTATGCCCTTCTTCCCAGATAATAAGAGCTCTGCACTGAGACTGCTGAGATAAACTAATGGGGAACAGGATACTACAAAAGACATTTGAAAGAGCCCATGTAATTTACTGCATGTCTGGTTTGTTTTACTTTCCAAAGCCTTCCTGTTGCTCAAGGAAATTTGTCTCCTCTGGCCACCTTAGGCCCTCTTTTGGCCGGGAGTCCTGAAAAAGCATTTGAGGGCAGGTAAACAGATGCAAAGCTCTCTGAGTGAGGAGTCAGGACAGGCCGTGCTTCCTGTGTCACATCGGAGGCATGGACAAAGTATCCTTTCGTATTTGTTTGAGAGAATTATCCCCTCTGTCGGCAACCAAGAGGCTGCTGGTGCATTCAGTATAAATAACTCCCAACATGTTCTGAAGGTAATTTACATGAGGGAACCACTAAAAGCCTCCTACTCAATGAACTATACCCCCAGGGAAAAGCTATGCAGGCCCGGATCAGTGTGGGAACAACATAAGGGTGTTCTCTGTGCCAAAAAGGGGATTGGGCTAGATGGAAAATCCCCAAAAAGGACCATCTGGCAGCATAAATTATCCATTTAAAATGGCTGGTGTGAGTTAATGACACCAAAGTCACCAGGCACATGTACAACATCCTTCGGTTGAGTTTTAATGTCCCCTCAGGCCCTGTTTCAATTATGACTTTCTATGCTGAATATGGCCAAGTGTAAATGTATCCACTGTCCTCCCCCAAGCCCAAACACGTATACCATGAAACTGCATTTTTCTGTGATGCAATAGAGAGAGCGGATGGACAGTCAATCCAAGAATACAGTATAAGTGTGGGGGATTTCTCTATTATGCCGCATATATAGTATCATTACCCAAAAAGAATTCGGCAGTTAAACTTTCATTATTTAATGACTGCAAAGGATCTAGGCATTCAGATGTTAAAATTTATGATCATTTGACTCATAAGGTGCAAACTGGAAAAGAATTACTCTGAAAAAAAAGAGTCACTAGGTCAAAGTACCCTATATCCAACCTGCCTCCCTCTGCCTCCAGTATGCCCCTCACCTCCGCCAAAATACCTACTTAAGGACCCAGAGAAGAGTCTGGGGGGTGGGGGTGGGGCTTCATGTACATCCACACAGTAAAGCAGCTTCACTGTGTATAAAACCTCATTAATACAACACTCAAGCACCATGTACCAAACCTATATATCTCGATTCCGAGTTTCACTGAAGCAGGTAAACTGGCTAGAACTCTAATTAGCCTTTTAAAAAGGGTTCAAAGAAGTTTAATTTTTTAATAGCACATAAACTTTTCATTGGCACTATCCTGAGATCTTGCTGATGATGCTGTTGGCGGCAATGGGGAGTCAGCATTTTCATCTGCATTTAGGCCTGGCTTTATTTCTTAGGCACTCTCAGTGAACCGGCGTGAGCTAAGAGTGTTGCGAAGCAGATGTGTATGACCTTTCTAGAAGATCCACCACACCTTGACTGCTGTGTTGGTAATCATCAGAAATAATGAGAAGATGGAGGCCAAGGTCCTCATCTTGGTACTTCTGCAACTATCACCATGTAATGATCTCCTGATACATCTGTGTCCCACCCCCAACTGTGAATTCCTTGAAAGCCAAAGCCAGAGTCTTCCCATCCACCTTTCGGTTCCCAGGACCAGGCAGAAAGTTCCCAGTGAGGATGGCTGAATGAGTGAGTGAGAGTATTAAGTAGAAGCAAGACAAAATGAAACTTGTGCATTTTAGTAGAAGGAGCAAGATAAAGGACCCGGCCTGTGGGGCCTGAGGTTCTTTTGTTTTTAATTATCATGCAATAAAACTGCTGGGGGATGGAAGGTATCCACTTCTGTGAATGTTAACACATGTATAGATTCTTGTACCCACCGCCACAATCAGGATACACAACAGTTCCATCGCCCCCAAAATCTCTCTCATGCCATTCCCTGTGAGGATTGTGTTTTGATATGTCAGGGAGGAGAGAGAGGTATTAAGATCTGAAGACAAAAGGGTTAGTTCCGAAATCTCTTTGGTGCTTGTCTGTTCTTGCAAGGAATCCCTCTGAGGCCTAGGTGGGGGCAGAAGGATCAGAAAGCATTTTGTTTCGAAGTTCCTTGGAGCTAGGTAGGTATAACTCTTAGATGGGTTGTGTATGTTACCTTACCTCATTCTCAAGAGCACTGAAACAGTTATTAGTATCGACAGATTAGGAACATGGAGACACTTAGGCTCAGAGAACTTGGGTCGTTTGCCTATAACCCTACAGCCAGCAGCAGCAAGAGTCAGGATTACACTCTCTCTATTCCAAAGCCCACACCCCATCCTCTCTACCCATGTGACTTCGCAGATTGAAGAAGGCGCACAAGAAGATGCTCCCTTGTCCATGCAGAGGTTAGACACAGAGAAAGGTTTCAAAAAGCTTCTGCTAGCTGAATTGCTCACATTCCTCTCAAGACTCAGAGCCAAGACTAGACTATCCCGGGAGGTCAGGCTAGCCGTTAACATTTGCTTAGTTCACTAGAGACGGACAGAAAGATGGTTGTTTCGTTTCAACAGGAAAGTGCTCACGGCGATACCCAATAACCTGAAAACACATTTAAGCACCTCCTCATTTTCTAAAAGTCCAAGCCTATACTGTAGCACGGGGACCCTCCTCTTCTTTCTAAGATTAGCCATCCAGCTGAAAGAGTTGACAGATTTTTCTCCAAGATTATGAAAAGATAATCCCAAAAGCCAATCCCCAAAGGCACTTAGGGGAAATGAGAAAGCAAAGGCACATGCATCTGGGACTGTAGCGTAGGTGAGGATATGTAAGAGTCAAGCGCCACGGCCCATTCTGACAGCCTCTCAGTTCAGCTCTATGTGCTCCTGGGCCCCCTTTGGTGGAAGCAGCCGTCAGAGAGGAACAGGTGTTCGTGTGGAAGGCTCGGCCGCCGTGAGCCGGCTTCCTTCCGTCGAGGCACACACGGCCCCCACGCGTGTTTTAGACGTGGGCGCGCTGCCCACACGCCCGCGTGCCCACCCCGCTCACCTGGCTCCACTTCGTGCCATCCGCTGGACTGACTGCCGCTGCCCGGGGAGCGCCCTTGGCCTGTGTAAAATGGCTCTTCACCAGGACTGTCCATTTCATCCTCCACAGACTTGAGGCGCTTTGTGGAGCTGAAATAACAAATGGGGACATGTTTTAAAAGCCATCCAAACCACCTCTCTTGGATAGCGCATCTCTGGTGGAAAGAAAGCCAAAGGAGGAAGCAATTGGGCAACTCGGGTGTAGCTCTAGGACTCTTTTAGGCTCTTGTTCAGTTGAGTGAGTCACTGGATGTGGAACAAAGTCTTGGGTCTGTGTTGTTCCAAGTGTCTGGGATTTTGATTTTTATTGTCCCTCAAGTTGCTGCTGCCACATCCTGTTCCTTTCTCCTTTGAGGAACTGGGGACCTGGCTCCTGCTCCCGTCTCCACCTGGAAATGTCTGCAGGAAGACTGCATTTCGTGTCTCCTCGGGCAGCGGTGGGGACCTAGCCAGCAGCAATGTCCCAATACATCACTGAATCCCTCTGGCACCCCAGGAAGACTAGAGATCTGGGTTCACAGCCCTCCAGAAGAGCTTGGATTGCTTCTCTCTCTTTTTCCCTAAGTTTTCTCACCTTCCACTTGGATCTATTCATTCAAAAAATATTTGTTGCATAGCTGCCTTAGTCCAGATTCTGATGGAGATGCTAGAGACAAATATAATGATCCAAAGAGATAAAAATAGGGGGAAGGAGTCCATTTCCCTCTGAGGAAGAATGGCCCAATCCTTTTTATGCCCTTCCTCTTTTGATGTCTACACAGAGGTCACCAAAATGAAGTTCTGGGTATTTTTTTTAATTTTTATTTTTGGAGAGGTATGGTTGGGAAATTCCAGCGTTTCCTCTAGTTGAAGGACTGAGTTTTCCTCCCAAGTTGAGGCTTCAGGAGTGAAAAGACAGTGAAATGCCATGTTGCTAATATGTTCTAATTGTCTTAATTGATTATGTCACTAACATGCTACCAGAATGAATAGATTTCATACCTAGTGGGAGTGCCCACTGGGAAATCTCTTCCTCGTGTGTCAGGGTACAGACTTTTTAATATGTTTTCATTTATCAAACACGTGCTGTGTCCCTTCTATGTGTTAGGTGCTGTGCTAAATGCTGGGATATCGAGATGCATCCGACATGGTCCCTGTCTCCATGGAGTTCACGGTCCAGCAGATAGAGATGCAGAGGCAAATAAAATTGTGCAAAAGAGAAATGTAGGTATTATGATGAAAGCACATACAGGACACAGTAGATTTCGTGATGAAAGAAGAAAACAATGATATGCCTGGGAGGTTGGGAAAAGCATCCTGACTGACAGGGTTCCCGAGCTGTCTGTATGAGTGAGTATCGAGGAGACAGGCGTAAGGAAGAAGTGGCCACGGAGAGACTGGCTTTTCGTTGATGCACCACTCAGGCAGCCATTTTTATTTCAAGATTCTAAAATACTTCTTTATCAATTGGCAAAGTGTCACCATCTCAAGTTTCCCCGCTCTTGCCACACCAGCTGTGCCCCAGGATGCCCTCATCATGCACAAACTAAAGGACTAACGTCGTGTGCATCTGGGGCGTTCCAGGACTCAGCCTGAGCCTGGTGGCAGAGCAGCACCCGTTCTAATCGGTACGCTCCTGTTACACAGGTTATCGGATACTCTGAACATGGCTCCCAGGAGGGAGGTGCGTATCAGGCAGAAGCAACATCATGAGGAAGGTGCGACACATGCAGAGAATTGCCAGCTGTGTCAGAGTGAAAGAAGGGGGTGGAGGTGATAGAAGATGATACAAATCCGGATTTTATCCTGTCGGCCATGGAGACTCCCTGAGAAAGTGTCAACAGGGAGTGACATCAGAGCTGATTTCAGGAAGTCCACTCTTGTAGGCGTGCAGATGGTGGCTTTGGAAAAGCAAAGCAAAAAGGAGGAGATGGATCCTAGGAGCAGTGAGACAGTGAAGAGGCGATGGCTGCAATTCGAATAAGAAAATGTGGAGGGCCCAATGTAAGGCAAGAAATTCTAATTATTAAAGTTGGTATTCCAGTGTGCTTTGCCTTTAAGTTCTGGTCTCATTAAAGCCAGACCACAGGAAAGCAACATATCTGTAGCATGCTAGCTTAGTACCCAAAGGAAAACCTTTAATAGCGTATTTTATGTTCTTTGTTTGGTTTTCCTTGAAGTTCAATGAAAAATAGCCACTTGGAGAACTTTTCTATAATTTATGAAACTACTTTGAATAGAAATTTTTTTTAAAGATTTTATTTATTTATTTGACAGACAGATCACAAGTAGGCAGAGAGGCAGGCAGAGAGAGAGGGGGAAGCAGGCTCCCTGCTGAGCAGAGAGCCTGATGCGGAGCTCGATCCCAGGACCCTGAGATCATGACCTGAGCTGAAGGCAGAGGCTTTAACCCACTGAGCCACCCAGGCACCCCTAGAAATTTTTTTTTTTAAAGATTTTATTTATTTATTTGACAGATAGAGATCACAAGTAGGCAGAGAGGCAGGCAGAGAGAGAGAGGAGGAGGCAGGTTCCCTGCTGAGCAGAGAACCCGAATGTGGGGCTCAATCCCAGGACACTGGGACCATGACCTGAGCTGAAAACAGAGGCTTTAACCCACTGAGCCACCCAGGCGCCCCCCCCCCAGAAATTTTTTAGCAGAAGGATGTTTACAAAAAATTCCTTCCAATACATAAAATCAGAAAAAAATACAATCTCTTTGCATGAAGTTCTATTCTTTCCTTTTATCAGAAAATGCAGCTTCTATAACCTCGTGCTTCCCCTTCTTGCCTTGGCAACCAGGAATCTCAGGATTAAATGTAAGGTACAACTCTTGGGTCAGGCTCCTGATATAACAATCTCTCCCGTTTTCCCATATGGTTTCTGGCTTCTCTATCTATATTTAATATAGTACCTAATGTATTTAAAACTTGAAAGCCACTTGAAACCATTTTGGAAGTTGGTAGAATACATGTTAAAATGAATATAAATATTTCCCTTATGTTTCCGGCAAATAAAAGGCAAGACCTCTATGTTCTGATGAGACTGTGAGCTCTATAGGGAAATCACCACCTTCTTCTTCTTCTTCTTCTTCTTTTTAAATCTGTAGTGCCTACCACAATGTTTGGCTAATAGCAGATACTCAAAAACTGCTGAACTGGGCTTGACTTAGAAACAGCCATATTGAGTACTTGTGACAGGCATTAGCCCAAGTGTCACGATTCACTGAGATCCAACACAAAAGGCCAACTCCGTGGCCTGTAATTCTTCTGTTATTAATTTTTTTCGAGTTTCTCAAGTTTTTGATTTCCTTGGTGTCCTCTAATAAAACACAAATATTCCATGAACTTGCTAATCCTAAAGGTGAGAGTCTGTAGATATTAGTTCCCACCTTTATTTGAAAGCAAGGACTTTTCTGAGGTTGATACAGGATAAATGTCTGGAGAGTGGAGGTACAGCGTGGAGGAGAGAAAAAGATCCAGGAGTGGAGCAAGTCAGAGGTGCCAGGATGGTCATGTGAAGGCTTCCAAGACAAAGTTTACTGACCTCACAACCCTGACAGGTGATTTATCTTGATGAAGTTCTTTGGGATAAAAAAGTATACTTACTCCCAATTTTTACACAACCCCCTCTGTGATTTTAGAGATGTTTACCTCCAAGGGGAACAGCACTGAAGTTAATGACTATCCATCTCCTTTATTTTTTTTTCTTTTAACTTAGAAATGAATCAGTCATTGATTATGGTTTCTTGCTCTTGACTTTCTAACACACTGATTCCATTCTCCCCGAAACACTGGAGGAAAATAAGAAAGTACTAGTAAGATCTCTACCTAAGAGAAAGCTAAGCACTCTTTTGAGGAGAGACACACTATCTCTTCCTGCATGTGGAATTGGTTGTATTCCTAGCAATTGTACCTAGAAATTAAGGTAAACTATCACCTCCATTCTAAATACTTGTTTAATTCTGATGATATGTAAGGCATGGAAGCCTTACCTTGTACCCACAAATCTGCAAAATGACTCTTTCCTGAGTGTTCAGAGGACCCTGAACTGAAAACTTCCATTCACACATCAGTCTCTACCATTAGACTGTAAGGCTCATCTTACCTGATTTTATACTCACAGTGCCTAGGACAATGTCCCTGTTAAGAAATGTCTGTTGCGGGAGGGGAGAGGGGTGGGGGGTTGGGTGAGCCTGGTGGTGGGTATTATGGAGGGCGCGTATTGCATGGAGCACTGGTGTCGTGCATAAACAATGAATTTTGGAACACTGAAAAGAAATAACATAAAATAAAATGCAATGGAAAAAAGAAAAAAGAAATGTCTGTTGGCAAATTGGAGCATTTACACACTGTCCTCTATGGGAATTACTGTCCAGATGGGGAGGCAGGACATGTACAAATCTCAAAGATGGTAACAGTAATTCAAGGTAGCACACCCTAAGAACCAAGGAAAATTAGGGATAATAGATATTCCTTTTAGGGGGCTTCATGTTCTATCATTCCTTACTGAAAGAGTAAGCCCCATTCCTAAGAGGATCGAATGTGAAAATATTATGTTTTTAAAGTTCCAGCACACCTGAATTTGAATGTAGACTGTGCCATTTACTAGCTCTGTGACCTTGGGCAAGTCACTCAACTTCTCTGGCCCCTGGGTTGATCCGCTGTTAACTGGCGACACCGTCTACATGGTAAAAGTATTGTGAAGATTAAATCATATCCGGGATGTAAAGCAGCTAATACAGTGTCTGCTACAGACCACGTGACCGATTAATATTGGCCCAGCATGAACAAATATTGATTGGTTGATGAACTTTTCTATATGTAAATCTGTAGTATTCTTCTGGGCACATTTTCTAACCTGTACACAGATAATTCTGCTGAGTCTATATATTTAGAGAATAATTTAAAAAAAAACAACCCATCCTAGGAGAGCCTAATGAGAGTAAAACAAACATATTACCAAGTTATTAACTACTGCTGCTGTTTATAATTAGCTCCTTATCAGGATTAGTTATTTGCAGAATATGAGAATGACAGTAGCCTTTTAAATGACATTAAAAACTGGTTTCCACTCACAGAATCACAACACAAGGCAACAAAACAGCTGGAGAAGTCAAAAGGACGGGGATGGGGGGGTCGGGAGAGGAGGGGAGATATGGACTGTTTGGGAAGTCCATGGTACATGCGCAGCACACATACGAAAAACAAACAGCCCATCAACTTTTAAATTAATCACTGCCCACAAGTATTTGCAAAGCTTTTTCATGTTGACTGAGTGCAGTTACGCACAATGTCCCCTCCATCAGCAAACATTAAAAATCCTCAAAATGTATTAACACCTGAATGTGTTCACAATCTCATTCTTTCATTATAAATGTACTTTGGATTTCAGACTTTTTTTTTCCTGAGGATCCGATACTATAAGGAACTAAGGGGAACCCTTAAACAACATGAAAGATGAGCATACGATCTGGCGGTAATATTTAGGGAATAACTGGTATTTAACTGTTTTCAAGGTATTCGTCATGACGAAGTGGATTCTCTCTTTCTTTCCTTCTTTATTTTTGTAATGCTGGTTAAAATATATAAAGTCAAGGTAAGACGGAGTCGCCACCAAGGAAAATTTCTATAATCTGGTCATTGTTTTAAATCATAAAACTCCAGGGCTTGCTTGAAAGGAGAATATACCTTTGTGAAACGTTTTTCTGCAAAGTACACAAACATTAAAGATCGTTCTGCACCATTCTTTTCTTTGTTGTCACAGTCCAGTGCTAAAGCCAATTTGTAAAAGAATACTGTGGGTTTAATGCCTAATCCCTTTCCTTCTGGTACCGGTTATCTAGAGGCAACAGGATCTTGCAAAATGCTTCATTTTGATTTGGGCTTTGTGACCTCAAGGGGATCCAGAACCCCGGAATCCTTATCTGGCTGTGCTTTTCCAGCTTTACTCTTTTTAAAGGTCTCCTGGGGCAACAGACTTTATGAGCCAGCCCTGCCCTGCCGCAGGACTGCATTCACTTTTGTGACCACACACCTAGACATCAAGTGGGTTTCGCGTTGCGGGACAGCTCCAATAGCCTGGATTTTGAGATCTGCGGGGGCAAAAGCCCCGGGACTGCGCTGTAATGTCTGCTGTAGGCACCGGGACCGGAACTGGTGTTGCCAGTGTCGACGTTTTGCCAAACAAGCCAAAACACATGCCTCCTCCCCAGTCAAACTTGTCCTTAATCTGCTGAGAACATGCTGTATTTAACATGCATCCTTTCTCTAGGCTTTGCTCCTGTCTTCACCCCACCCAGACACTATTCCTTTTCCTTCCCACCTTGCCAACTTGAAACCAACCTTTACAGCTGAATGCAAGTCAATCTTTTTGGATAAAGCCTTCCTTAACTATTTCTGGCCTATGTCATACAATTTAGCTCATTGTTTTCTACTGTCTGACACACACACACACAGACACACACATGTATATTTCTGCAGCATGTGCACTTGCTTTCTCTTCCCAATAAGACTGAGAGTCTGTTGGGGTTGAACACACTTCTCTAGTGTCTGCTACCAGTACACTCACCTTGCAAGTGCCTCCAGGTTCAGAATCAAAATGAAGGTGTGGAATTACAAGAGCCACCCAACAAATTACCTGGTAGAGGATGTGCTGGGTAAAGACCTCCTCATTGCTCCTGGACTCATGCTGTAGTAGGAAGAACTTTCCAAATCTGAGAGAGAAAAATTTGGGCCAGTTCCTGCAGCTATTGGTGCTAGAGAAAAAAAAAAAAAAATATTTTCTGTGAATAAAAGATCAATGACAGCATACATTAGTGTTGCATATAACACATGTTATTTCTGAATTTATACAGTAAACTTATCCAAAATAATCAGTAATGAACTCTGACCTCCAAAGAATGTTGAGCACAAAAACTGTCTATGTCAGAAAGATTCTGTTTTATAATGTACCTTTCTTCTTTTCTCTTTTTGTAATGGCAAACCGTCACCAAGGTTGCAACATTCCCTGAGGCTTTTAACGAAAAGACCTCCGAGTTTTGCTCTGCAACTTTTCTTGAATGACCAGCCAGAACATTCTCTGGGCTTTCCTAACTTTGCCTGATCCTGACTGCTTTCGCTCATTGGTATTTTGGAATTCATTCTGAACTGCAAATTCATCTTTCCGGGCTACCCATTCCCAATCTCCTGAGATGAGAAATGTGTGATCTCTCCTTACTCTGAACCTCCTCGGTGCCTACACACATCTCCACTTTATTTGGGAGGCAGGGTCCTCAATCCAGGGTTCCTGAGCCACACTTCTTCTAAGTAAAGTTTTACTGTAACATGGCCATGCCCACTTATTTACAGATGATCTCTGCTTCCACACTGTCAAGGCAGAGACTCGGGGCCACACAGACACTGTAAGGCTCACCAAGAACATACTTATTCACAGGAATTTTCCAATGTCTGGCTTAGGAGACTGTTAAAGATAATTGATTGTATGTGATTTTCAGAGCTGACTATTGTATGAGATGTCATTCCCTGTATTATTTTTTTAAGGCCTGGACCCTCCAGAGACCTTATTGACCGTAGCAGCTTCACAGATATTTTTGAATGAATAACACCTCCCAATCTGATAAAACAACTCTGTGTAAAGTTAGTGGTGCAGCTGTATGAGTGGAAATAACCTCGTCCTTTGAAAGGTTATGCAAAAGCAGGAGCAATAGATTCATATATTATTGTATTAAGGCACTGGTTTCTGAGTTAAGCCCATGTAAGTGGATATATAAATAAATTAAATAGAGGCTAATATCCATAAGAAGAAAGGATAATTAGGAATCTCACAAACCAGGGATTTTCATTCTTTCAACAAATGATCACTGCTATTGCCAAGAACTGTTCTGGGTGCGGAAGACGCTTAGATGGAAGACACGGTCCCTGCCCTGGACAGCTCTGGAGGGAAGGTTGGCAGGTTATTTTCAATACAGTGTGATAAGTCCTTTGCTAGAGTTATTCTTAAATTGATATGGCCACATAGAAGTGGGTATCTAACCCAGCTGGGGAGTGAGAGGTTCTGGGAGTCAGAGGACCTCAGAAAACATGATGCCTGGGAAGATGTTAAAAGGACAAGTTGGAATCACCCAATGTAGAGGAACAGAGGCATGCTAGGTAGGGGAGACAGCATTTATAAAGGAGAGAGAATATAAAATGAAAACTGGATTTCTGATAACTCGGTGTGATGAAATATACAGTACATGGAGAAAAGATGGGAGGGCTCAGGTCAGGTTATGAAGGGTCTTTAGGAACATGAATTTTTTTTAAGGAACCTGACTTTAAGTCCAGCAGATTCCCAAGTTTATGAGCTACTGAAGTGCTTGTCACACTGTACTAACTGCAGACCATTGGGGTTATACTGCCAGCATCTACTATAACCCCTGACACCAGGAGGCAGGCAGTAAGCACTGGTCACATGGAACTGATTGGTAGTCAAAGGAGAAGCAGCAAAACATAAGAATGTATCACCAAACTTGCCTTCATAACCTAGAAACATCATCCTCTCATGAAGATAGGCGTGGGGGACAAAGGAGTGGCTGTTGAAGAATATAATCAGTAATATCATAGAGGCCAATGGAGTCATTTAAAAAAGGTAAGTGGGGGATGGGTCTGAACTCAAGGGTTGAAAAGGGAGAGCCTAGTCTAAGTGACTTAGGAGATAAACTCCGGGAAATGTGTTGACTCTTGAGTGTAGTAATAACAGAAAATGGGATGATTCCCAAGATTACTGCTTGGGCAAGTGGGTGAATTGTGGCACCGTAATAAGAGTCTGGAATTGAGGAAAGGTAGGAAGGGATACGTAATACCTAAGAATAAACACTTAGTTGATTGGTTACTAGCAACAGCTAAACCTTAATCATAGCTGTCATTGTATAAAAACAGTCACTGCTAAGAAATGGAAAGCTCTGAAATTCACATACACTTTGTGAAATTCAAACCTATCTCTTAATGACAGACTGTAATGGAGGAAGGGCCTTTAGGTAAAAAAAAAAATGGTTGAGCTTGACGAAAAGTGTAAACAGAGTTCCAGTGAATGATTTTGCTAGTCCTTCCCTAATTTACTTTTTCTACGAAGTTTATTTGCATAGTTTCCCCTTTTATTTCATAGTATTTTATGGATGCAATAGGCTGGGGGTGGGTGGGAAGGAGATTACTCCCACATGTCAGCCCTCATCCCTCTCAGCAGCCAGCGTAGAGCAGGCACGTATTAATGTTACAGACTGATGTTTGTGCCTTCATGGAGTGTACAGAGTCACACCTCTCGTTAACTGAGGAAGAGGGATGAGGCTGATAGGAGTCGAGGGTCTGGATTTAGATTTTCTTTCTAAGTTCTAGGATGAGGTTCGGGCCTCAGCGGAATGGCACAGCGGCTTCATTCCCAAGCACTGGCAGAAGAGCACAGGCCTTCCTCACCCCCTCGGAAGAAAAGATAAAGGCAGGTGTGAGTGCACGACCTGGTTGGACTGAGAGGAGAAGTCTAGGGCCCTGTGCCCAGCTGCACTCACACCTCACATTCTCCTGACCACGTTGTACCGCGGAAAAATGTCTTCTGCCTTAATTATCTTACTAAAATGTCCAAGGGGCCAGAACCAGAAGCAAGGAAAATACAGAGTAAGTGCAGTGTGCACAACTCTCAGAGAGATTAAAAAACGTAGTGATCCAAAGGGGCACGTGCACCTGAGTGTTTATAGCAGCAATGTCCACAATAGACAAACTATGGAAATAACCTAGATGTCCATCAACAGATGAATGGATAAAGAAGATGTGGTGTATATATATGCACTGGAATACTATGCAGCCATCAAAAGAAATGAAATCTTGCCATTTGCGACGATGTGGATGGAGCCAGAGGGTATCATGCTTAGTGAAATAAGTCAATCGGAGAAAGACAACTATCATATGATCTCCCTGATATGAGGAAGTGGAGATGCAACATGGGGGATTGGGTGGTAGGAGAGGAATAAATGAAACAAGATGGGATCGGGAGGGAGATAAACCATAAGTGACTCTTAATCTCACAAAACAAACTGAGGGTTGAAGGGGGTCGGGGGGTTGGGGGAGGGGGGTGGGGTTATGGACATTGAGGAGCGTATGTGCTATGGTGAGTGCTGTGAAGTGTGTAAACCTGGTGATCCACAGACCTGTACCTCTGGGGATAAAAATACATTATATGTTTATAAAAAAATAAAAAAATAAAATAAAGATTAAAAAAAAAAAAAACCAACCCGCAGAAATGTTCCTTCCCTTGCCCCTATATTTACTTCCTGTGAAGTTCTTAGCACCCTGGGCTTGTAATCTAGCAAAATGCTTATCGGGTGGGCCGGTGGCATTGTGATGCTTTCTTCTCCAAGTGTTTGTTGAAGTTGTACTGAGTAAGTTCAGGGCTTCACAAACTACTTATGTGCGTCTCCGATTTTATGACATCGTTAAATTTCTCAGATGAGAAGGGGTCTCACAACCTGGGTTAAAAAATCCTTATAAACCACGGACCCAAACTCTGCATTCTTCCAAATGGTCTTGTCAGGAAGCACTCCCAGTACTGTCCGTGTGTATGCATCGTATGAAGGTCAGCCAATTGGAATGGAATCGGAGTCAGTGATTCTGTGACAGTTACAGAGAAAGCCCAGGGAGGGGTCACTGTCAAGTGTCCCCACAGTGGCCCGGGTATTCTCAGGCTCTCTCATTTGGAGAACAGGAAGAGCCTGAGGGAAATATCTGAGAAAGATGGGCTTTCAGCAGGTTTTCCTGAGCACCAAGGAGCATTTTATTTCTTATATCTAACTTCATCCTCAAAACAACATCTTTAGGAAAGTACCTCTCCTAAATGAGAAAAACTAATCAGTCCCCAAATGAGGTTAACTGGCTTGCCATGGACTGCAGAGAGGCAGAAAGAGGGAGGGTCAGCGTTAAAAGTCAAGGGTGTCTCACCCCCAAACCTGTTGCTTTTCTTATCCTACTAACCTGCCTCTTGTATTCAATGTATTTGCCTTAAACTTCAGATGATAAAAAGGTAGACAGTGTCTCTGTCTCACAGGGTTTACTACAGAGTGGAAGGATAAAATAATACTTGAAATTCTAATTTGACGCTGAATGTGTTCACTTTCATAGGCAGAGTACAAAGGATGTACCAGAAAAGTTCAAAGGAATGAGAAATCCTATCAGCTTGTGGGATCAGAAAAACGTCTGATTCCAGGAGGAGTTGGGCAGTGACACGAAGGCTTCCAGTACAGGAGGATTTAAAGAGGTGGAGAAGAGGAGGAGGGTTTCTAGGCAAATGACAGAGTATGCGCATAAGTTTGGAGGCATGAAGTACAATTAGGGATCTGTGGGCTCCATGATGGTTTCTGAGGAGGAAAGTGATCATTGCTGAACCTGAGCAACATTAACATGACAATAACCTACAGAACGCACTAAAGGGGATGAAGGTGGGGAAATCAGTTGATGGCGGAGTTGAGAGAAAAGGGAGGCCTCCACCATGGTGTCTGGAAAGAAAAAGGCATTTTCATGGTGGGTATCTGTCACCTTCGGAAACAGGTCCCAAAGATCTATGTCCAGTTGTGCATTAGGAAAGGGCATACACAAGCAAATATTTCATACCATCCCAACAAATACAAAATACCCGTAAGATACATAACCCAATGTATAGAACCCAAGGCGCTTCTTAGCTAATAATGGTAGGAAGTCCTTTTTGCAAACGAGGGAACTAAACGTTGTCAAGGAT